AGAAGCCAACGCATAACTCGGGAACCAATAGAGCTACAGCGCCGCGGAAAAGCGCATTCGATAGCCCTATTAACGCCCTTTCTGGGTAATTCTCTCAGATTTGACCTAACGTCAACGGTTTTGCCTCCAGGGGGCAAAAACTGCAAAAATAGCCGATTTTTTCGAAAACAGTTTTTCTGCAATAACTTTTGACCCAAGCCTTGTACGAGCTTACTTTTACCGGCATCGTGTTCCTCTCGTCAAGACGCATCGAATGAACTATGACTTGACCTTGAAAGGTCAACTTGAAAATTTGACCTCAGGTCAAGGTCATGACCTGACCGGAAAGGGTCATGTTGCATATCAGTCGATCCGTATCGTCGAGCTGAACACATCTAAGACGTTTTCATCGCTCTAACATGCCTCTATCAAAAGTTATTTGCGAAAAACTGTTAGATACCATTCGTGACCTAAGATGACCTCAGGGCATAAACAAGGGTCACGGACACCATTTTCAAGTTCAGTGTGTCTAAACCACTTGTAATTCGGTGTTTGGGAGTGTTTATAATGTCTTTCATCCAAAAGAGGCGCATTTCATTTTTCTCCCATTGACTTATAATGGGGAGGTCGCAAAATTGACCTGACCTTAGGTCATCGATATCAAAATTCTAAGATATACATTTTGTACATGCTATTGCTCTTAGCAATCGCTGAAAGTTTCAAAGCGATCGGTCACTCGGTGTAGCTATGACAGACATGAAACTTTTTATGAGGTGAGGTCACTTCAAGTGACCTGGTGACCTGACCTTCAATGACCTTGGTCTGAAATTTTCACAACATGTGTAGAATTGATGTATGGTAAGGTGTACCAAAAACGGCGGCGCGGAGCGCCGCCGTTTTTGAGATATTCGCGAAAAAACCACAAGGGGGGTGTTCAAACCCCCCCCCCAGCAGGGCGCGGGTTAATTCAGTAGAGACTCCGCTCGCTTCGCTCGCTCCGTAAAAAAAACTTTAGACCTTGAATGAACGAATGAATAAAAGTATCTGCATGTTTGTTTTCAGGTAAACCTCCCTCCCCCCAAAAAATGTGTATTACACCTATCTATAGGGTGGGCATTTTTAAACATTACCTATGTTGCCAGAACTCAGAAACACGATGGAAATATAGTCTTATCACCGATGTTGACAAGAAATTCCAAAGTTACCCAGTGGTACATATTACATAAGTGGGTAGTTAGATTAAACTATTTGTAACTAATGGCTGCAGCGGATATGAATTACCTACCTCTCTTTTTTTGCCCAAGATCAATGCAATTTGATTAGGTACATCGTTACTATTCACATGCATACCTAATACCTATGTACTGGTCGAAATGTGCCATTTTCCGTGTAAAAAAGCATTGCTTTAATAGCCGAAACTCTGAGAAAAAATGTGGCTGCGTTGTGATACGGAAAATGAATTGAATTCAATTGTTTGTGAAGTCTAAAAATCAACTTTTTATCTTAGTTTTATTTCGAGGAGTGATTCAGAGGAGCATTTTGGGAGCAAACGCTAGGTAATGTAGGTATAGACCAGCGTGTTTTTTATGTAGGTACTAGCAATAGCGCTGCTCGTTCTTTTCCGCTAACCTGGGCCTCGTTTCATAAAGCGAGTCCGTAACTTACGCCGGTTTTTGGTCTTGTATTGCAAGTGCATGTAAAGAGATACATTTATTTCGCCTTCTCCCTAATGTTCTTGCTTGCAAGATAAATAAATTCAACGATTCAAACTAACGTCATCACTTCACATGCACTTGCAATACAAGATCAAAAACCGCCGTACCTACCTAAGTTACGGACTCACTTTATGAATCGAGGCCCTGGTCGCCAAGACCTACATAAATACCTACATCAGGGACCACCCGGCAATTACGCGCATTCTGTCCGTCTTAGCCGGCTATACAGCCTAGTTGAGAAGCGGCACAAAATTGCCCCAGCGCTCTGAAGTTGCCAGACTGGTGGCTGAGAGGTTTCCAGCCGCCAATCGATAGTTGGACGGCCGGAGCTCAGGGGGGGGCGGATCTCGGGGGGGGGGGGGTGAGCTCCGGTGGGAGCGCCGCCCCCTGCAACCGGACGGCGCGGCGGCTGCAGGCGCTAACGGCAGGTCAGGTGGCAGGGCCTGGGCTGACCTGGTGGCTTGGTTTGGCCTGTGTTTCAACTGGCGGCTGGTTCTGGGTCCAAACTGATGCCTTGGCTTGTGCGGCAGATGGACCTTGGCTGAACTGGTGGCTGGGTTTATGGCTCAAATGGTGGCTGGGTCTGTGATTAAAATAGTGACAGATGGGTCTGGACCCGAGCTGGTAGATCGGTGTGCCCATTGAATCGGGACTGACCTATATGATCATATATACCTATACTCGTACTGACTGGAGTTTGAAACTGGTCTAGTCTAGTGGCTAGGTCCTTGACAGTGGACGGTCCTGGACTACAGCACTGGTCCAACGTGCAGTTCTGGGATTGGAAAGATGACTTGAGTATGGAGTGGGTCCCCGGGACTTTCTCAGGGACAACGCAAGGGTGCCGGTTTTGAGGTACTTAGGTCTGATAGAATGTCTAACTATTGTGTGCTTACCTGGGTCCTCAGGGTCTTTTCTTCGTAAGAACAATGAACTCCGTTTTCGCTCCAAAAATTCACTGACTTCAGAAAAAACGCTAGTTTCAGAGGCTACGCTTATTTCGAAGCCCTCACTGCTCTGGAACAGCCGGACTTCCTATTGCATCACATGTCACTCAGCGTAGTTGACAGCTGCCGCTGAACAGCTATCAGGTCCAGCCGCGAAAGTTTTCGATGTTTCCGGACCCTGTCAGAAAGTTGTCAAAATCGTGTCTTTCCTCTGGCCCAAGCTGGGTTTTCTGTGACCTCTACCGATCGACGACAGAGCATCGGCTGTTTACCTCTTGAGCCCAGCTGTGCTCCCTTTAACCCTATTAGTGGCAGGGGGGGTTGTTTTTATCCACCCCTCAGGTTTTTCGGGAATATCTCCGAAACCGCTGAAGCTACGATGCTGAAATTTTCTGACTTTTCCTAAAACTAAATTGGGCACATTCCCTGAAAATTTCAAGTTCATAACTTTACCAGGGGCGGCTCCAGAGCACTGGGAATTGGGGGGTCCTATTCGTGAAGCGAGTCATTTGGGCGAAGATCACGATGCTGCACCAGTTTTACGAACAGTGAATAAAAGGTATCATGTGATAACATATTCAGTTATTGTGCATCCTCTTTTGACACGTTTTTGCTATAATAGGCGGATCCAGGCGTCCAAAAAGGGGGGTTATGTTTTACCTCCCAACATAGGTGCCCTGACACCGCCTATGCATTACCAATACAATTCTAGGCGTTCTCTCATAAGAAAATTATAACATAACAAGACCATTACCACCCTTTTTAGAAACAGTACCAACAAAAACCTTATTTACTATACTTTTTGTGTACCCCCAATCTCAATGATCTGTATCCGCCTATGATTTTTGAAAATGCATATTTTTAGGATCCATGTGAATTCCTGGTTCATTCTCTATCGATCGGCAAAAGTTGCGTTAAGATTGGTTCAGAAACCTGGCCGTGATAAACAGTCTAAAATGTATCTGCAATTTGCCCGTTTTTACCCCCCTCTACCCCCCCCCCCTATTGACATTTTTTAATTTTTATTTTTTAGAAATGTAGATCATGTTGAGCGAAATCGAATGCCGTTTGAATTTTGAAAATCGGCCCGTTAGATCTCGAGATATCAAGGGGGGTCGTAAACAGCCCCCCCCCCTGCCACTAATAGGGGGTAGCCAGGAGCCTGCCACTAATAGGGTTAACCCCAGCCGAACTATCATAGCCCACAACAGACCATCTTCCTACAGAAGACGGATGGAGACTCACCGGACATTACTCTTTTTGTAGTGTCAAAAGGAGCGTAGAAGGATATTGGTAGAATGAACGATCATGCTGGTTTTCTCTAGTACACTTAGTGCACTTAGTTATTAGGATGATGAGTGATGTAATGAGACTAAGTGATGTGATGATGTTGCTACTGGCTAGGTGATCTGATGATGTGACTAAGATGTGACTAAGTGTTGTAATGATGTGGCTAGATGTTATGCTGGTGGAACTAGGCGATGAGCTTATTTGACAAATGACACGTCAGCCTCATCTGCACGAGGAGGGGTCAAGAGGGCACCGTACGTGCCGCTGGCTGGCCCGTACCTCCCAGGAATAGACAGTCGAGGTCTCCAGTGGGCTGGGTCCGGTTCGTCACCTCAAAGGTCAACAGGTCCGGCCGGAGCTCGTGAAGGGCTCTGAGCCGGTCAGGGCATCTCCTGTTCTGACCTAATGATCCGAGGTGCTCCTATTGAACTGGTTTTTTGTTAGTGCAGGGTTTATCTTTAGACTGGAGTGCCGTTGCAGTCATTGTAAGGCAATGTTCAGAATTCAGACCGTGTCACCACTGGTTACACCGTGTAGCCAGTCAGCCGTAGCGCCTGCGAGTGGAGAGATCCGCTTGGAGTATCGCTAGGATGCGCTCTGTGCTTCTGCTCAACGATGAGGAATGTACGGGCACCAGTGAGCAATGGAGTGGTTCTCATCACTCGACCAGCGTCAGTCTAGTGCCTATACATCAGGGTCCTCAAAATGCCACTCGGATAAACAGCATGGTGCTTTACTCACCGTGTGGTGTCGCGCTTCAGCAATCAGCTTAGGTACATGCTAGTCTGCAGTCCTCTGCATTAGAAGGTTTTTAAACAGGCCCTTTTCGAATTTGTTTAGTGTTTTTCGGAAAGACTGTTGATGTTTGTTTGCGTGACTTATCGATTCCTGCTTTAGAAACAATTCAAACGAAATGTTTTTCATCCGTTATCGTTTTGCCGTTTTGAAATTTTGAACTTTTTCCTCACAGAATACCTAAACATATAAACTATTTTTCCCGGTGCGTCTGTCCACAGGCTGTCAACTCAGAGGCCTTTTCAACTGATTGTGTTCTTTCTCTCATTTACAGGAGCGCCTTCTGCTGTCGGTACTGCCTCGACACGTCGCTGAGACAATGAGGCAAGACTGGGGTCGGATGGATGTTGGACAGTTCAAGAAAATCTACATGAAGAGGCACGAAAATGTCAGGTGAGTTATTTCGATCGAATAATATGTGTAAGATTTCATCTCGATGGTTCATCTCATTGCATATGATGCGTGATTTACTATTTGTATTGCACATCGTTGTGGAATCCAACAGGCGTTAGTTTTTGTCGTCGCTGTGCCCTTGTGCAAGTCGTCATTAAATGTAGACAATCGCGTAGGTGTTAAAGGAGAGTCGAATGGAGACGGCACGCGAGCGTTTAGATACGTCTGTAGCGCAATGTTGAAGAGTAAGATTGTATAAGGAGACGCGACAGTACAATCAATAGTGTATCATAAACAAATCAGACTCCCAGAATCGGAAAAGAGAAGAATTTCTCGCCAAAGTGGGCATTGTTTGGCTTGTGGGATAAATAAATGAATGCATGAATAAAAGCGGCATCGATGTTTGAAACAAAGCAGATGCCAACTTCCCAAGACGCTCCCGCTGACATAAGATAACTAGCGTTTAGCTTCAACGAATTGAGGCCAGCGCGGTGCCGATAGCGCCTTACACCTGTTACATTCCCGGCCCTGCCCTTCAGCTCCCCTCATTGCGGACAGATAATGCTGCAACAGTTTAGTCACACACGTTATCAGGGGAGTATGTGTGTGAGCCAGCCATCTTGGTATAAAACGGGCAGGATCGGAAAAATACCTTCAGTGGAGCCAACTGCTCCTCTAAAGACAACACAGGCTTCCTTCTACATCGCCATGGAGGTGTCGCCGAGTCTCCGGATGGCGGTCTGCGTCCTACTGATGTGCGCCGCGGGTTCTGCCGCTGAACTGACCTCCGACACCGACGGTACGTCACTGCAGGATCCCATCGTACGCGACTGCAGTGACCTGCCCGCGGGCTCTGCCAGCGGAGTGTACCCGATCATGCAGGATCTCACTTTGACCTCGGCCTACTGTGACCTGGACGATGGCGAGGGATGGACCGTCTTCCAAAGAAGAGCCGACATGCTACCCAGGCAGAACTTCTACCAGGACTGGGAGGCCTACAAGTGGGGCCTGGGAAGTTTCGATGGAGAGTTCTGGTGGGGACTGCATCCGCTGTGGCAGCTGACCTCCCAGTCGGACCGAACATACGAGCTGCGGGTCGACCTCAAGGATTGGGATGAGCAGACGGCGTACGCCACCTACCAGGACTTCACCATCGCCTCAGAGGCTGACGGCTTCGGAATTGGCTTCACCGACTACGCCGGAGACGCCGGGGACAGTCTGAGCTACCACGTCGGGATGAAATTCTCCACAGTTGACCGAGATAACGACGTTTGGAGTGGTAACTGCTCGTCTACCCGTGAGGGTGCTTGGTGGTACAGGCACTGCGCCGACGCCAACCTCAACGGCAAATACGATCCCCGCTCCACGGAAGACACAGCCGTCTTCTGGTATGCCTGGAGGGGTATATACAGCTTGCAAGCCACCACTATGAAAATCAGACCGACAGTGAAGCCCTAAGCGCCTCGGAGACTGCAAGCAAAAGGTGTAAACTATTGCTCTGAAGCCTCCTGCACAAAGATACCTACCTTTCTGTTGTCCTTTTTATGTTTGTTCCTCATTGTAAACGTCTCTTTGAACACAGCACGAGATTTGTTCGGTAAATTACCTGAAAATAGTTTTCCCATTCACTCTAGTTAGGTATTTTGGTACAAGAAGCCTGTGTAGTGTGTACTGTGTACTCGCCAGCTTTGTCATCGGCTTGATTCACTAAGCTAGATCGTACAGCAGTTGCTTTTGTGTCGCTTTGACCTACTTGTAAGTCCGCGTTTTGGTTTCTAATGGTCGCCCTTGTTTAACCGAAACGGAATAAGCCTGAATGAAATACACATGGCATGCCTTGGAACGTGTTTTTGTAGTCATTCTTGAAAGTACCGCACATCGGTATAACGGTGGATCCATCAAGCCCAACCGAGGAAGGGCTGCTTATTTTGAGAGTCACTGATTCAATTGACATCCACATCCATCCCTGAGGTCAACTGGCTCAGTGGCTCAAGTTTAGCAGCCCTTCCTCGGCAGCAGCCCTTCAACAGTCCTGCGGCTGTGTGTCTGGCCACGCTACCGCAGCACATTGATTTTCAGGTCGCAGAAATGCACTAAGGTCACCACAAAAAGTATGGTACTTTTTGTAGGGTCCAGGTCACAAGCGCTGCCACCACATGTCAGCTTCAGAATTTCGACATTTTGTGACCCGTGTGATTGTAGGGTCCAGGTCACAAGCGCTGCCACCACATGTCAGCTTCAGAATTTCGACATTTTGTGACCCGTGTGAACATCAGAGCCCGTGAACACTGACCAAGTAAGGGAAAGTGCTGAAGCCTTCCTGAATACTGAAGCACGATCAAATGGCAATCGCTATGTTCTGCATCTCGTTTTTAAAGGTATTATCTGTTTTCCCAAAAATTTCGAAGTGTTTCAATGAAACGGACCTAGAAGAAGATAACTGAGGCTCTACATAATCTGGTCTCTAAATTGCCTAATTTTCAAATGACGGTACTCGAAAGCTCGATCCGACTACTAGGGCCATTGACTGTAGCCAGCGTGCCGAATCACAGTACCTCTCTTCCAACGAGATTGCTCAGAGTCGTGACATGTTTTTTCAAGGTGCATCCTTTGTCGTTGGATGAACTCAATGGCAGTCATGGTACCCATGAATCCGACGACGTCCAGTGGATTATGTAGATGATGTCAGACGTCAGTATTTGGTTATTGCGCAGAACTTATGAAGGCAATTGCTGCCCATTAGATACTTGACGTTATCATTAGTGGCCTCATGAATGGGACAGTACCTAACGCCTGGAAACGTGCTCTTGTCACGGCTCTGCCAAAGACCGGAACGATCCTTCCAAATTTAGATCCATCTCTGTGGTGCCTGCAATTGCAAAGATAGCTGAAAGAATTGTCCACTCTCAACTTAGTTCATATTTTAGCCATCACGATTTATTCTCGCATGCACAGCATGGCTATCGAACGAATTTTTCCACTGAGACCGCGCTCACCGTCATCATAGATAAGATCCTCATGGCCATGAACGCTGGTGACTAGGGGTGCGGGAACTACTTTCAGACTGTGGGGCACACCATAATAGAGATCAACCTAGGGTACCCCCAAATCTAGTTTTCTCACTGGCTTTAGCCACTTATTTTTTTATCCCTTGACTTCAACAAAAAAGAAAACATTTTCATAAAAAGTGCGGTATTCCGTCTCAAAGTTATGGGGGCACCGCCCCCACGGCCCTAGAGTTGGGGAGGGGGCAAGCTGCCCCCACTGCCCCCGTCCCCCGGTTCCCGCGCCTACATGAGTCTCGGAGCACCGGCCCGGCGCGGGTTAATATTCTTTGGAATTGCTACAAAGAGAAGCAACCCTGTGCACGTCAGACCTGTACTATATGTAGTAAAACTTCCCTCAAACATTGCCTGGCTATTCATTTCAAACTATATCAAGTTTCAAGTTCATATCTTTTCAGGTTTCGGAGATATCACAGAAAACGTACAGGGGGCAACAAAAGCCCTTCGGCCCCGCGGCTCGTGGGTAAAACAGAACGTGGGCTTTTATAAACAAACAAACTGCACGCCTTTTATCTCCCTAGTTATGAAATAAGTAGGCATTAGAAAACGTCTCTGGAAGGTTTGGGGATGGGGACGTAACAGTTACATAATTTTTTCTTAGCTGATAATAATGGCCGTTTCACGACGGCATAGATAACATGAATAATGTTATCTATGACGACGGCTATCTGGACACGTTTGGTTCACATTTGGTGCAGATTTGGTGCAGATTTGGTCAAATTAGTTTTGGTCAAGTTTGGTGCCTTCGCTAGATAACCCGTCGTGAACACGGCTGATGTGTGGCTCCTCTTGCGCTAACCCGAGCGCCAATGGCAGATATGACCCTGTTTGTGCGCTACCCGAGAGGCTGAACTGCCTACTTCGTGTTTGGTTTCACAGTTCTTGTGTGTCTCGTCTTCAGCCACGGCCCGGCCGGGTTGTTTTTCCTCAGCGGTGCTTCGAGCGGAATGGGTCGATGTTTCAAGCCTTGCGACTCCTGTTCTCTGCCTCCTCTCAGTCCATCATACTCCCCACTCTCTTTCTCTTTCCCGCCCATCCTGCCTCTTTCTAAATCTGACCGAGTCTATCTCGAATCATCTCATTCTTTTGAGCCGTGTCTGGACTGAAAAAGAATGCTATCAAGCTTCTGGGACGTGTTTCCGGTCCGTTTTCTCGATTGTAAAAACGTCCGCGCTGGTAGTAGTTGGGATTTGATGTCATAGATCAATATGAAAATTTAGCCGGGAAGATAGGAATACTGCGAGACTTTTCGGCTAGAGCGACTTTTGGATACCTAGATCATGGTTTGTTTAACCATGTGTTTAACATTAGGACCCATTTGTATTACAATGTCAATTTTTTATGTGCTAGCTCAAATGAGTGTTTTCTGTCTTTGGCAGCATCCTCTTCGCCGACATCGTGGGATTTACGGCTATATCGTCCACCTACTCGGCTTACGACCTGGTGCACATGCTGAACGAGCTGTTTGCCTCCTTCGACCGCCTGGCAGACGTGAGTATGAATATACATAGACTGGCGGACAGTGTTCTTTAGCAGGGTGCTTACCTACAAAGTTGCTACAATGTGCGGCAAGGGAGCGAGTTCACCTCGCCATATGCTAAACATCAAGCTGTGGGACGCGAAAGCCGTTCCACGGGCCCAAGTTTATCCCGCCACGCTGGCTTTATTTAATCGATAATTGTGTTAAAACTCTATATTGGAGCGATTTTTTCTCCTTTTAAATAAATCTTGTGAGTCTATCTAAAAAGCCGAAAAAGCACAAGGCATTTCAGAGACTAGGTATTCAGAAGTTAGCCATCGCGCTTTTGAAGTCTCGCGTAAACGCTTATACCTTCTTTATACCGTGAACCCATAATAACGCAGAACTGTTCATTTGTAGCCTTTCTCATAAAGCTTTTCCAGTAAAAATCGATATAAAAATAAAAAGCCCGATTTTACTGTTTTCCAGTAAAACTATTCCTGCATAATGTTTTATGGAGATGTAAATGTATTTATTTATTTATGTGCCCAGTGCCATTTTACTACTGACAAATGATAAAACCGCGGCGACGAATGGGTTTCGAAATCTGAGCTGCACTCAACAAGTATACCTATGTTTTTTTTTTTTTTTTTGTCCGATCGCGTTTGGGATGGGCAGTTGGAAGCTTCCCTTCAGTGTAACATTATGCGGCCCGTCCGTCTCATTGACTCCAACTGCAACTGCCCAGCTCCCTATAGCGAACGCGGGTTGCCCTTGTTCAGGAGTTTCATGAGCTGATAACACAAAAGGGAATCATCTCTCAAATACATATAATATACCTATAACTTCACCGTTCCCGTTAGGAGACTGATGCCATCAAAATAATGCATCAGACGGCTAAAAGTCACATTTCACAGAGCCACATTTTTATCTTGTACATCCGTCCATTGGTCGTGTAAGTAAGTGGATAATTCCCATTTATTTCAAGTCCCAGCGACATCCATTAACGCGGCAGACCAATATTCTTTCAGTCAGCTGTCAGAGCAAACTGATACTCTAAATGCAGCTCACACTCAGCGAGGCATGTATTGTGTCATTTACAGAGCTTACCCAAAGCCGTTTGTCTCAATAAAATCATCTCCGGCGATCCGTTTGCTCAGTTAAAGTGATCCTCATCCAGCGATATTGCGCACACAGCATGATTTACTACCAAATGAACCAGTATTTGAAAGATCAGCGGTTGATTTATCGCTGGCTGCCTTCGTCACTTTGTTAACCTAGGCGGCTGTAAATCAAATACGAGCCTGCAACATACACTTCCATCTCAGGGGCTTAGCAAGTTACAGCACTGCGGATAAAGCAGTATGCCTTATGCCTTATACTAAATAACCGGTACATTTTTCTTCTTGCTGAGATGAGAACCCAAAGTCACAAGTTTCTGAGCGATACTTTCCGTTTCTTTTCCCGAGCAAAAGAAATGCAGTAGTTAATGCTGCTTTGCATCGTAAGGCAGAGTAGTGCGTTGATGCAAACATGCAATTTTTCTGTGATTTAGCCAAAAGCTGACCGACTTCTTGTTATTTCGTGGAAGCATCATCAACCCGATCAAAATCAAAGAGTAAACTGTTACGAAAACAGATAAGCCCAAAGTTCTATCACACTTCATTCAATATTCGTATCCACAACAGCATTACACATATTTTTTTTTTTTTAGTTTTAAATGTTGTCCTGTCTCCGGCTGACTGATGAAATCCAACTCGCCTTCCAGAAATACAAGCAGTTGCGGATCAAGATCCTGGGCGACTGCTACTACTGCATCTCGGGCTGTCCGGAGGAGAGAACCGATCACGCCATCCAGTCCGTCTACATGGGGCTCTCCATGGTCACGGCCATCAAGTAAGTTTTGGTTTATACAATCACAGGGGTTTTGGTTTGGCTTGATAAAGTGACCTTTGATTTACACAACCAAGTCAGTTTTTGGTTTACACAATCCAGTGAGTTTTACTTTATGCAATCTAGCGAGTTTTGGTTGTAATGGCTCCATCCGTATTCAATGTGCAGTATACAATCAACTGAATTAAATACTTGGTTCTTTCTAGTGATTGTTATCAAGTCATTGGTATTGCGAAATGCAATACTTACACAATTTCATAGTTACGTAATACTTACATAATGCAAAGTCTTACATAATCACTGCCATAAAATGAGTACTGAAGCTCACATGCATATCATTTATGTAGGGATGTAGGGCACGTCATAGTCAGCTTTTGCAAGTTTGATTTGCGCGAGCTGCCAGGAGCTGACGGGTTGTGTAAACTTGCGTCAATAGTCGCCTTCTCCGAGTCACATTTCAGGCAACGTGGTTGGGCGCACAAAGAAATGCGCTACCATAGCTGAACATTGGAAGCTGATATGAGATATAAGTCTCATTATACGCTTCCCATCCATAATTTAGGTAAACTGACACAAATTGGCCCTTAGCATAGAAGCAGTGACACTAATGGCACACGTTGCCATGTTTCTCAACCGTAATAACACCCACGTATATTTTGGGAGATCCCGGACCATTAAACATTCATTCGTTCAGGAACACAACGCAGAATACGGAGTGGTAGCTGCTGCATTTCAACGTCCGTATATCTTTCGAAGATAAGCATCAAATAGCCCTGGAAAGGCATTACGTCATTCAAAAGAATCAACGTTCTATGATATACGCTCACAAACGCCTAAAGAATAATATCACATATGCATTGAATTTCAATATGCGTTATTCTCGTCTTCAATCTACCTTTATGAGTCAAAGTGGATATGTTAAAGCTGTTACATACATTACTTTTTAACCCTTTTATTGCATTATCACATCATTATGATTAATGGGTAGGTGCGCTGTTTAAAATGAATTCTTCCTTATGCGGCTTAGAATATTGCGATCAATATTAGAAGTAATTTTACTTTGAACGTTTGGTTATCAGGGGATTATCTCATAGCAACAGTTGCCATAGCGTTTGCCTGGACTGTATGCAATAAAGTGACTTGAATTTTGCCAACCACTTTTGATCGTGCGCTGAAATATAATTAGGCTTTGAGAAGCACATATTGTCCAATTCCGCGGACGGATCTGCCTAGCTGTGAATCTTCCGGGGGAACTCATTATCAAGGAATTATGGCTCGCGCTGACGACCTATCCATTTTAAGCACCGCTGATCCAATCTATTTGGTATTGATTGCTAATATCTAAGAAGCGGCCCCGTATCAAAGCGATTCAAATGACATTCATTCAGAGCACTTTAGTGTAAAATTAAGCGTTAATCTTGTCAATTGATCACAGAGCTGTTGTGTAGCAGGGTTTAATTAGGGTGAGGAGATGAGGGAATTCGATGCGACAGCTAGTGAGCCCTGTGTCCCTTTATGTGGTAATTACGCTGTAAAAACGCTCATAAAGCGACATGAACCATCCGCAATGTGGTGGTAAGCGCTGGGTGAGGCGTAGACATTATGACCACTACATATTAGGCAGTTGTGACTCCGCAGGTGTCCCTATGCCTACACCCGACTAACCTCATCAGTTACAACTATGGGAAACACCCCCAATTGAGGACTGCTCCGGCTGTTTTTCAATAGAAAATGTTTTTCAATAGAAAAGAATCATTAGAACACAATTCTGACGAATAGTGTTTGTCTGATTTTTCGAACAGCCTGTGGTTATTGCGTTGTATATCGCTGTATTGCGTTATTGCGTTGTATATCGTTGTATCACCCCCTTTCCACCCGATCCACAGGTCGGTGCGGGAGTCCACCCGCTCCACTGTGGACATGCGGGTGGGGATCCACACGGGCGCCGTTCTGGCCGGTGTGATGGGACAGAAACAGTGGCAGTTCGACGTCTACAGCAAAGACGTGGAGCTCGCCAACAAAATGGAGAGCTCGGGGAAGCCGGGGTAAGTACCGGAAAAGTGTGTCAATCCGATTGCAGCGCTGTGTGCCTCCCAAGACTGAGAGCAGCTAGAATTGTTGATGCTCTGTTGAGTCCCCCAGATGCCTATCTCAAGAACTAGGTCAGTTCAGAGGGGAAGGAGCAAAAAGATATGATCGATAGCCTATTTAACGGCCATTGGTCAAATGTGGTGTTTTTCTTTGAACAAAAACGATCAACAGGTGATCTGACATGATGTGACGACGTCTTCTTGAGAACATAGCATAAGTCGAAGGTTGGTGAAAGTTTACAGCAATCAGCTTCATTCCTAAGGCGTTGGAAATGATAATGCCTGGAAACTATTCAACTCAGAAGAGCATCTCCCCCAGGTCCTTGTTGGTCCCCTCCACTTGCAATATGTCAGATCCTTACACGGCCTTCTGAGGCATGCCGAGTCCTCACTGCCCCCTCCCCCTCTGCGTCATATTTCTGCCCCCCCCCCGCGTCAGCTCCCGGCTGAATGCCGCTGCTCCCCTGGGGCCGCCCGGTGCGTCCGACAGCCCTCGGCGCCAGGCACAGCCGTCACGTCCACGCTGACGGGGCCGCTGACGTCAGCACACACGTGCCGGCGGAAAATATTGCCGACGCCTGGTGCCGCGTCCAAACTCGTCATCACAGGGCAGGGGCAGACGGAGATGACCTATACTTCATAGGGAAGGTACTGGATAGCGACAGCCTGCGATGTCCCACACATAGGGCAGATTTTAGACACAACCAGCGATGGCCCACTCCCAGGACGGACCCAGACGGGCATAGCCAGCGATGTCCCCGCATGATGCTGCCTCAGGGTGCATAATGGTCTTGGCGGTGGAGCAGGACGAACTCAACATCACTGAGATGAGAGTTGCTGTGCCGCGCACTGCTGTAATAATATGAACAATTCAACATTTCTCTCAACAGTGGCATGGTTGACAAAATGAACAACGCTTCTACCATCACAGCTACACTCTATGACATCTGCTGGCTATCACAAATAACCCGGCAACATGCCACTGTCATGACAACACCGTACTCTGAAACACTCATTGCCTGCTGGTGCTACGGCGCTCTCCTTCCCCTCTCACGAACATACGACGCTGCTGTTTTGGCACTAATAACGTTCCGACTGATCTACCGTCGAAGCCCCGCTGCGCGCTCGACGACCGCCGTGCCTGTCGGTGCCTGGGGAGCCGGCGGGGGCCACTGGAGTACCGCTGAGTGCGTCACGTACCATCCATCGCCGCTCCGTGAGCACTCCTGCGGCGGACGCCCGGCGCGCCGGCCACCGGACATGGAACCGCTCTTTACCAATCGATGGAGGAGCCTGGGCGCGTCCCACCGGCAACTCGGAGTGGAAGCCCGCACCTGTGTGTCTAGCGCGGCACGTTACGCGAAATGCGTATGGCGTTCTGCATCCTGCGCTGCGCTCCCCGAGCTTATGCTAGAGTTATGCCTTACGGTGGAAACGGGCACAGCCAGGCTCGGCTCGAGTCCCCGGAAACAGGTGAATGGAATTCGCGGACCAATATCGGCTGGCAACGGCCTGCTTATTGCTCCAGTCAGGTGCAGCCAAAGGGCAGCCGTTGGAACCGACGGCGCCGCTTACTTATTGTGGGACTCACGTACTAAATGCGACCGGTTTGGGCGCAATCTAAATGCTAATGAATAGCTGTACCTGCACGCGGCTTCCACTGAGCCAGAACAGGAACAGGCTGTGAGTTTTAATGGAATACTTCCTTTTATAACTGAAATAAATAATTTTGGAAGACGCCCAAGTGCGGCACTGTGGCGAGGGAATCACTAAGGTCGCATCGTTTCTGCTAGAAACTGCTGGATTAATCAATTAGGGTAACCGGACAAAAAGTCAAAAGGAATAAAGTCAAAAGACAAATAGTCAAAAGACAAAAAGTCAAATGCAAAAAGTCAAACGGGATAAAAGTCAAAAAGATAAAAGTCAAAACGGATAAAAGTCAAAAGACAAAAAGTCAAAAGAAAAAAGTCAAAATGTGCAAAAGTCAAAAACGCAAAAAGTCAAATGACAAAAAGTCAAAAATGCAAAAAGTCAAAAGCAAAAAGTCAAAACGTGTAAAAGTCAAAAGACAAAAAGTCAAAAATGCAAAAAGTCAAAAGGATAAAAGTCAAAACGGAAAAAAGTCAAAAGACAAAAAGTCAAAAATGCAAAAAGTCAAAAGGATAAAAGTCAAAACGGAAAAAAGTCAAAAGACAAAAAGTCAAAACGTGTAAAAGTCAAAAGACAAAAAGTCAAATGGAAAAAAAGTCAAAAGACAAAAAGTCAAAAGCAAAAAGTCAAAACGGGTAAAAGTCAAAAGACAAACAGTCAAAAATGAAAAAAGTATAAAATAGAAAAGTCGAAGTCAAAGTCTGAAATAAGAAGTCAAAAGGATAAAAGTCGAAGCCTCGATCTTTTCATCTTTTGAAAAATATTATACAGCGCAACGTACCCTACCCACTGAAGTTGTAAGGAACATGTGAGTACGCGAGGGATTCTGACAGGTACCGGGGTCCGCAGCAGCGGGGCAGGGACGCTGGCTGCGGTGGTGGGGCCCACGCTCACATAATACGCGTTGAGCGCTTCCGGCGTGCACGCTGGCGCAGCAGCAGTGGCACTCTTCCCCGCCCCGATCACCGGCCGCAGCACTGTCCACATCCTCGCCGGTCCTGCCTCACGCAGCTGGTCAGCATAGTATGCCGCGTGGTCACGTCTGATGGCCGCTCGACACTGCCGGTTCACCACCGTATACTCGGCGCGCGGGCCGAGCAGTGCGTGCCGCCGCGCCAGCAGCGCTCGCGTGGCGTCCGTGGTGCGCGGAGCACGTCGGGCGGCGGCAGCCCCTCCCCCATGGGAGCGAGTGAAAAGCAGTGCCTCCTCTAAGCAGTTTTGACTGGGGGGCCCGATCACGGGCAATGACTAAGGTAACCCCTACCAAAAACGTCTAAGACTAAAAAAAATGACTAAGGTACCCCTCAGTGACCAGTTTGGAGGATGACTGCGGGGGCTGCAGCTCCCGCAGTTAACATGTTAGAGGAGGCATGGGTGTCGTTTTGTATAGGCATGGTAGGGCCCGAGCCCTACCAATAATTTTGGAAATTTAACACCAGTAAAACGCCTTTTGGGCGAAGAACGAGCGAGCGGGGGAGTGAGCCCTGCACGTGCGGAAGGGCGAGAGGGTACTTCCAACGGGCTTGCGCAAAGCACCCTTCTAACCGGTCGCTAGCGGTGTTGCAAATTTGAACGCAATCGGCCCAGCCGTTCCTGAGATCTGGAAGCGGCATTCTGCACGTGCGCACGTGCAAACGGGGTCCAAACTGACTTTTGCACGGCACCCTACTAACCGGTCTCCAACCGTGTACCAAATTTGAGCGCAATCGGCCCAGCCGTTCTCGAGATCTGGAAGCGCCCCCTGCGCGTGCGCACGTGCAGTAGCACCTTAACCCGCGCACCGACGGGGGGGGCGGATATCCGCCCCCCTGAGGTTTATCGCGAATAGCGGGAAAACCGCGGCGCGTAGCGCCGCGAAATTTGGTATGACTATTCCCTTATCAATTTTACACATGGTGTGCAAGTTTGAACCTCCTACCTTTCAAGGTCAGGTCACCAGGTCACTTTGAATTACCCAACCTCAAGTCACTTTTTTGCAACTTTGTCACCGTGCCAGAGCTACAGTAGATGTCGGAGGCCTTTGAAAGTCGCAGGTTGTTATTAGGTCATTAGTAGCTACAATTTGTATATCTCGGAATTTTGATATCGGTGACCTAAGGTCAGGTCAATTTCGTGACCTCCCCATTATAAGTCAATGGGGGAAAAATCAACTCCCTGTTTTTACCACTAAAACGGGTCGGAATGGCCCCATATACCATACATGACTTCATATACGATCAACCTTCACTACCTTGAGGTCTGTTTTGCTGTTGGGCAGCTGTGAGGTCATGTGACGTCATCAAAGGTCACCAAAGGTTTTTGGCCAATAACTCCGTACAGGAACAAGATACAGACGCGTGGATGGTCTCATTGTGTTAAGCTCGTCAAGACGCATCGAATGATATACATGATGACCTCGAGGTCACGTGACCTGAGGTCAACCTTTGACCTTGACCTTTCGAGGTCAACATATATATCATTCGATGCGGATTGACGAGAGGATCACGATGATGCCCTTAGTTTGTTACTATCTTGACTAATTCGAAAGTTATTCGAGAAAAAACTCTCTCCATATTTAGCGCCGCCATTTTGACTTTTTCGACCCCTGTGACGTCATCTTTGACCTGACCTGAAAATGACCTTAGTAAAAATTGTAGATCTTGACCGTGCGTATCCGATGCCGTTTACCGCTTGTCGCTATCTTGCTTCGTTCTCGAGATCTCAGGGGGGGGGGCGGTCATCCGCCCCCCCCCCCGTCGGTACTAAGTTGGCGCAGACCCCCGTCGGTGCGCGGGTTAACCGCAACACATGGGAATGCATTGCCTGGTGGGTGCCTACTTGTATGCCAAGTTTCAGCGAAATCACCCCAGTAATTACCGAGTTATTAAAATGGGAACAAATTTGACACCTCTTATTGTTGTATTTTGCACGTGCACTGGGGGTGACCCACCTGCCTCGAGAGTATCCTATTTTTGGTAGAAAGGATGCAGCTACCCTATAAAAATTACCGCAAGTCAACCGCCCAAGCGGCTGCTGAGAGATAATTTCAAAATTTTGAGTTACAATTTTTGTCCCCTCAACTTTCAACCTACCCCATCAACTTTTCAAACGTTCCCGGGTCACCACTGCCCCATCGTGCAATTCCAGTGCTATGGCAAAGTTTTATCTGAAAGTTTAAACGTGCCCGATAGACTGGACGCGGTCCCCTCCGTCCACTCACGCTCTCTGGTCTCTGTACGGTCATCGCTGACTGGTCCAGCATCCAACGCGCTGGGTTTATAGAAATTTGGTTAAAAGAAATGAACATATTTTAATGAACGAATCCATTAA